TATTCCTCAGGAGTCGATGGAGCAATGTATTTCATTGGTGTATTGGGAGTATTTAGGAGAGTATTCTTGTTTGTGGGAAACACATAGTAAAATTTCAGACAGTACAATTCGCAGGTATTCAAAAGACTCTCATATGATTCCCGCTAGGGAAGGGGGTACTTGTCCTATACTTGCAACATTTCTGTAAGTTTAATATTGTTCCTTTCTAAAAAAATTAAAAATAAAATTTATTGACATGATGCTATATATATTTGTAAGTATTAGGTAATGGTGTTATGCCTTTGTTCTTACTAGCATTAGATCAAGCAATTTACTACAGATACACAGAGATGATACCATGTTTTCTCAATGAATGCAGCACTCACAGATCCACCATTATTAAGAGCTACAGGTCTCTTTAATACCTAGAGACTAAATAGGCTGCACCTTATTCTTGTTTTTGGCACCTTCAGAGTCTACATTCTTTTCTGCCATTGAGTATTATTTCCCAAAGTTCATCTCTGTTAGTGAGGGTAACCACTGCATGGAGCCTGTCCCTGCCATGGACCATGAATGCCACTATCCTCTTTTACTTTTTATCAGTGATTGGGATATCATCCTGACCCAGACACCAGCAACCCTGTTAACATCTTTAGGAAAGAGACACTGAATCTCTTATCAAGCAATTGCCTATGTACATGGAGAGATCAGTTCGATCCAGATGAAATTGGACAGGGATTTTCACTCATTATAGATAATATCTCTAATGTGCCCAAAAATGTCCCAGCCTGGCTCAGTAGCAGGGGAAGTGGCTCCAACTACATCAACAGCAGTGGGCTGCAGCCTAGGACTCCACAAAATTTTACTGATGCCTGACTAGGGGAGCCAAATCACAGTGAAGTAGCCTGTGCACAAACCTTCCTGCTGCTCTGTAAGCAGCCTGAATTGTAAGGGAACTTGCTTATATTTGGAGAAAGGAAGAAATCTCCACTTGTCCTCTAAATATTTGCTGAAAATGAACTGACAAAAGAAAGATTAATAAGAGAAAAGGAAAACAAAATTCATTTAAAATGCAGTGGGATATCATAGCAGGGTGATTACCCAGATAACTCAATGAGATCCAGTTGTTCATATTTCCTTTCTAGGGAAGAGGGAATTGGGAAGTGTGGGCAACCTGGAGAGAACAGATGAGAATAAAAGTGCATCCTCAAAAGAGCAGGTAATAGTCTGTCTGGATAAAGCATCAACTTCCAGTCTCTTCTATTTTAGATTCCTCTTCTGTGTTAATCTTCCCTGATATAAAAATTCTCAGGAAGAATTTTCTTGACAATTGGTTTACTTCTGAAGAATCTGCTTTTAGGCAGATAAGGGATATTTAGGAAAAGCCTTTTTGTGCATTTGCTGCTTTCTAAATGCCTTTGGTTTTACATAATCATCATACAAACGCAGCATAGTTTGAGATGTTATTTTCTGGATTCCTCTACTTGCAACCCACCTGCCAAGATGCTGTTCAAGAGAGATGCAGCTACAAACTGAAAGGGCAGTTGACCCCTGAACAACTTGGAGGTTGGGGCACTGAGCACTGGTGCAGATGAAAACCTGTGTAGAACTTTTGCATTTCTAACTGAAGTACTAACAGCTTACTTTTGACTGATAGCCTTAGTGGTAAAATAAATAGTTGATTAACTATGTTTTAAAGTTATTTATATTATATACTCTATTATTCCAATAAAGCATGGTAAAGAAAACAATTATTATTAAGTTATTAAGAAAACTATAAAAAGGAGAAAATATATTTACTACTTATTAAGTGCTTGCTCACAGGTGACACACACACAAGAAAATATAAGTGGATCTGCAAATTTCAAACCCAATTTATTCAAGGGTTAACTGAACCAGGATGAATGTAGCAGTCCCCATCTGTAGTCTAGGGCTTTCCCCTTTGCTGTACCTCTGCTCACTTCCAGTGGCAATATCCATGTCTTATGTTCTTTATGATCTTGGGCAGAGAACTCTGCCTGCGTGCGTTGGTGGCCAAAGGGCCTGGAATGTGTATCCCTTAGAAAGCGCTATGGTTTGACTCCGTCCTCCAGAATCCATCTGTTGTAAAGTTAATTCTCAGTGTAATGGTATTGCCAGGTGGGGCCTACTGGGGTGTGTTTAGGTCATCAGGGTGGAGCCCTCTAGTGGAATACATTAATGCCACTATAAACAGGGATTATAAGGCTGGGATCTCTCTGTCTCTCTTCGACTTGTCTGTCACATTAAGATATGGTGTTCCTTTCTTTGAAGGACCCAAAACTCCTGGTATCATCTTGAAACTGGAGTAAGCAGTCCTTAACTTTCCCATTCCTTGATCTTAAATTTCCCATTCTCCAGAAGTGTGAGAAAATATATCTCAATTTTTTATGAACTACACAGTGACAAGGAATCTGTTATAGCACCTTGAAAGAGAGCAAGAGAGACAGCTCACAATCAGTGAGGACAGGATGAGGGGTATACATACCCCAGCTTCCTCATCTCTCAGGTGGAACAGCCCAGAGGAATTTAGTCCATGTTTCCACATGTGGTGGATCTTCAGTTCTCCTGAGTCAGGTGGGTTGTTGATGTGTCTTTTACCATTCATCTTCTGTTCTCTTCCTCACTTTCCTCCTTCCTCCCAGGGTAAATTTGCTGCCTAAACAGGAATCCTCATTGCTGGTGGACTCAAACTCAGATACTGGAAAAAAAAGTCGTTAATCTTTCGTATGAGGGGTATTTCTCATCTGAATTCTAATAATTTCTTTTTCTTTTAAATATAGGAATATTCAGGAAACACTTAATTTTTTTTTTTTACCAATCTATTTTATATTGAATTTGTGAAGTGATTTTGTTTTTCTGTGTGTTAAAACCAAAAATTAAGTTGTAAGCCACTAACCAGCTGAATGGATTCCTCTTTTGATAGAGAACTTCAAAGAAATCTGAAAAACTAGGTTAGAGCATGACTGGCAGGTGGGCTTAGATGTGCCTCATTATACTCTCCTCCCTTTGGAGTTCAGACACAACTGACCAGCATTATCATTACATCAGAGATCATTGGACTGATAAAACAGATGCTTTGTAGCAATAAGATACCACCATACTCCAATGTGACAGATAATAGGCCCTGAAGAAAATCTAAATATTTTACCCTAAAAATATTTCTTTGATATATTCTGAAGTGGTTCTGCAAAGCTGCCTGTTGTGGGGGAAATTTGCATTCTATAGAGAATCTCCTCCCCTTACTAAGTCTTTTTTAAAGAGTCTGACATTTTTTTAAAGGTCTGATAGCAACATTCACCATCTACTTTATTTGCTACCCATAGGATTCATCTACATGACAAGAACCTTTGCTTCCACAACCCCTTTTCTAGATCAAGCATTTCTTTATGATGAATTCAACTCTTTAGACAGAGCTTAACTCTTTCAACCAGTAGCCAGTCAGGAAAGCTTTGAATCCACCTATGACCTGGAAGCCCCCCCTTGAAGCTTTCCCACCTTTCCAGGACAAACTAAATGTATATCTGATATGTATTGATCTATGTCTTTGCCTGTAATTTCTGTGTCTCCCTAAAGTGCATAAAACCAATGTACCCAACCACATTGGGTACATGTTTACAGGACCTCCTAAGGCTGTGTCACAGGCCATAAGCCTTATTTTTGGCAAAATAACCCTGTAAACTGATTGAGACCTGTCTCAGATACTGTTTTGTTTACACTGGGTCACAAAATTTAAAAATCCTCTAAAATGATCCACACATCAACAAATCTACATTAGAGACAGTGGAGTGAGTGAACCCCAATAGATAAAAATCACAAGTTAGAGGAACCTGAGTCTAAGATTTTGTCCAGCTCTCTTGATTCATAAGTAGGACAATTTTGGGGAAAATGTTTATTGTTGGTGGAATGAATAATGTCCCACCCCAAAAGAAGTCCATGTCCTCATATCTGGAACCCAAGTGTTATAGGAGTTTTTAAGAAATTATTTTAGGCAGAGAGAGAGGAAAAAGGGTCCTTGGGAAGGTTTTGTTTCTTTTAAAGCAGCTCTAGAAACACTTCTTGTCTAGAGGAAAGCCCTGGCTCCTAGAGCCAGGTTGAGGAGCTTTCCTAGGCAAATGCCAGCCATTAGAAACTAGATTCACCCAAACATGGCGATTCCCATTGTCTTCTTCTTTGTCAACACATGCGCCTGGAGAAAAACCTGAAAGATGCTGTAGGAAGCTGAGAGCAGCAGCACCACCATCCTTAAGACAGGACTGAGGATGACATGGTTAGATAGCCCATACTTCAGGGGCAGATGCATTCTATTTTCTGAGGGAGTACCAGAGAATCCTGCTTCTACTATCAACCTTCCTGACTACAGTATCCTTGGCTTTGAAAAGTTGTAGTGTAAAAGTTAATCATAGGAATTCAGTCATTCTTGTCATACCCAACAGAGGCAAGAAACCAGGAGGCAAAGGCACTTGGGATGCAAAATATTGCTTATAGAATGCAATTGAAATAGGCCTTATTATCCCATGGAACTAATGTTTATAGTTTTTTGAATAAACATAGAAACTGACTCCCCCAGTCTTAAAACTCAAGATAGTTACATTTGTTAATCTGAGTTCTTTTTTCAGGAAACCAACCATCAGGCCTCTAGATACAATCAAGGAGCTGAAGGTTACATATCACTGAATTGGGACAGTGAGACATCAGACCCTTTGCCCATCATGATTGCCTAACTGACCTCCTGCTTCCTGTTGACCAAATTATCTTCTTTACCCCTCCCTAATTCCTGTTTTCCCACATTTCTTCACGGCTATCTAAACCCCTACTTTTAGTTGGTCAGGGAGATACATTTGCGAATGGTGTCCCATCTCCTCGGCTGCAGCACCTGATTAAAGCCTGTTCCTTGGCAATACTGTTGTCTTAGTGATTGGCTTTCTGTGTGGTGAGCAACAGGATCTACATTGAATCCCTGGCATTTCAGTAACAAAATTATATGCAAGCTTCACTGCTTTGGGTTATTGTAAACTGACATCAAATTTACCCACAACTTCTGAGATAACTTAATATAATTCTAGGATTCAGTTTGTCCACCACTGCTTGCCAGTCTGAACTTGCCACCTCCCAATTCTTACTAGAGACAATAAAATTTCTCAAAGAATGATAGGTAATAATTTCCCTTTTTCATAAAACTCTTTGTTCTTCCAACATACTGCAGACCATTGAGTTTTCCTGTATGCCCCATTTGGCAAACATTTCTTAGCAAATATTAAATTAGCAATCATTAAATTTAGAGATTTATCTCTACATTTTATTTAGATGTCAATACTTTAGACTCTAATTCTCTGTATTAAGACAATTACTGCTTAGAATATCTATAGTGGCTTCTTCTCTGTTATATGAATTCCAACTGAAGCCATAAACTAGACTCCTCAGGTGTCATGATCTCTGTCTGCATTAAATCAGCAGAGGCATTGTTATGTCTGTGCAGCTGGGGCTGAGAAAGAAAAAGGAATTGGGATGCAGAGGTGACTTCATGTCCCCCTCTACCAACACCATCAGAGTGTGGCTGCATCTGAGGAACACTCTCAGCCCATGGAGACATCAGGAGGAGCAGCTGGGGCAGCCCAGCCTCACACATCTGCTTCCCTAGGGGTTTATGTTCGGATGTGTAACACTGTGGGAGGGTAACTTTTATACTGTTGACAGTAATAAGTTGCAAAATCTTCAGGCTGCAGGCTGCTGATGGTGAGAGTGAATTCCGTCCCAGATCCACTGCCGCTGAACCTTGATGGGACCCCACTTTGCAAAGTGGTTGCATCATAGATCAGGAGCTTAGGGGCTTTCCCTGGTTTCTGCTGAAACCAATTTAAATAA